TCTGCCTGTATTTTTTTTAATTGCTGTATTGTGGTATAGTTTGCAAAATCTACCAAGCTCTACAAGGATGAATATTGTAATATTGCTAAAATATGCACTTTTAGAAAGCATTCTAGACATTGTTTTCTTCTTAGGCAAATGTTTTAGGGTTAAATACATTTTTTTTCTTTTAATGAATGGATTCAAAACTAACTAAGAAAATTTGTAAGGACGTTATGGGAATGTAAATATTAACTGCTTGGAATTTAGACTTGTATATCTAGACATAATTTAAGTTTTGTATTAAAATGCAATTTTATTCTCCTTAAATATTTGTCAATATCAATTTCTTATCAAAAATTAGTTTTTAGATAAAATAAACATAAACTTAATACTCATGGGACTTGTGGAAAAAGATGCTGTTCTTAATAAACAAATGACTGCATCAGCCAAACAGCAGATCAAATGCACATTGAAAATCTATATAATTATCTAATATATTTTCATTTAAATTATTTTACCTAGAAAATTGTATCACATTAATACCATTGTTCTATCACCTGTGATAGAAAATAGCAGTACTTCAGAGTCTCTTATCAATCTGTATGGCTAAAAGTCTATAGAGATCCTCAATCATCTAGGACATGGTTGTCCCAAATGTGCTTTTTCAGGAGGCAACTGAACTTTCTTGTTTTTAATTTTGAAGATGTTTCGCTTCTCATCCAAGAAGCTTCTTCAGCTCTGATAGGAAAATCCTTCCATTCCCCACTATCCTATCAGAGCTGAAGAAGTTTCTTGGATGAGAAGTGAAATTTCTTCAAAAGAAAAAACAAGAAAGTGCAGTTGCTTCCTGAAAAAGTACCTTTGGAACATCTGTATGGCTATTAAAAGCTAAAGAAAAAAATCAAGCAAAGGAGAACTATCTAGAAATACTGATACCTTTCTTGGCTAAGGAACTACATAAGGAATAGACTTGTATGTCCCTGAATCCCCCAGCTGAATGCTCACTTCTAGAAATGAGGACCATATCATATGTATGATTTATGAAATTGAATTTGAAACCATATGGGTTGTGCTGAATACATGGATAACTAGAGAAAGCATGCAAGTGTGTCCTTCCAGATGTGAAAATGGGTGGAGCTAATTCCTATCCATCTTAATATTTTAATCTCATACTATTTATGTTGTAGTTTAACAGCTGTGATTAATATGTGTGAACATAACATATGTTTGTAGGGTGTGCTGTCCAGACAGTATATAGGTAATTGGGAATTGAGATAGTTAAGTTAGAATTTGGAGCTGTCCCCTTAAGGGAATGCCTCATGGTAAATGTAGTTAATGCATCATGGGTAATGTAGTTCATGTTATGTGGTCACATCTGTAATCCTGATTGGTCATTGAATTGACCCTTGGTTGGGTTGGGGGAGTTTCCTTTACTCTTGCTTGGACCCCAGCACCGTGCTGGTCTCTCACCCCTTGTTCCATCGTTATGGGATGAAGATCACTATAATTTTACACTATGAAGTCAGCTGTGCAAAGAATTGGACATTAGATGAATCTTGACATAACCGTGAGTTATATTTGGGGATGCCTTGTGAACTAATAAAGAAACTTTGTATGGAAGTCTTTGTAGAGTTTAATCTGACTGTCTTTATATTCAGCCAGCGATTAAAAGACAGAACATAGGGCCCACATGCTATTTTATGTATTGTGATTAGAGCATTTATATTTCACTCTTGGAGTACATTCCCAGGATAGCTAACAATAACTTTTGAAGACCAAACTAAAATACTACCAGTAGCATCAGTACTGTAAAATAAATAATTTAAAACAGCATATGAGAAGAAAACAGAGCCAAAAAAAGTATACTACTAGTTAGTTTCAAGATATCTGGAAAAATAAAAATAATAGCCAATCACAATTTAGTAGACCTCAAATAATATTGGCTTTAATAGTTTTAATGAGTTTAATAAAATAAAACATGTTTCACTCGGGACTGAACTGTGGGGCTCTTGGTGCTCTGAACTTGGTTGCTCATTTGCAGATGTTTCATTACCCAACTAGATAACATCATCAGCGCAAGCAGTTGAGTAATTAAACACCTGCAAGCAAACAACCATGGTCTGAGAGTACCAAGAACTCTACATTAGCTTTGCTCGTACATTACATTAAGCACAAAATTAAAGAAAATACTAAAACTTTTTTTTAAGGAAATATTTTTTCCGGACTTAATAATTACATAAATATATCATTGTATATCAGACCTGCATATGACACGGTATCTAAAATGTTAGGAAATGGATTAAAACACAGCAAGTGACTTTTAATTGGCATAGGACACTCTTCGCATAGAACATGAGTAAATGTTATGAGCTAAAAATAAGCTTCCAGACATAATTCAAGTTTCTAGTTTTAATGTTTAAAGCCTTAATGGACAAGGTCCAGTATTTTATGAGCTCCGAATTTATCTTGCTTATTGAGACAGGATTATCTTTTGAATATTAATTTCCTGTGGACTAACTTTAACAAAAGCTAATGGAAACCTTCTCCTTGACAGAAGATTATAATTTGGAGCCACTAGTGACCTTTAAGAAATTGCTTTGTTTTGGGGAACAGTTTTTAAATCTTTGTTAAGTGTTGGATTTCATGACATTATTAAGTTAATTACCAAAAGGTCTGAAGTGCAGTCTTATGCTCAAGAGCCAGCTGAAAAACTATATAGAATGGGTAGAAACCCCACTATCAGGCAAAACATAAATTATTATGGAGCCCACAGAATGTCTCTGATAAGCTAGAAAAACATTCCACTGTCAGTAAAAGGGTTACAAAGTGAAGGAACTGTGGATAGGATGGGAGTGGGGATAACAAAGGGAAGAAGCATGCTGATCCTATATCCTGTATTCTTCTAAAGCACTATCTGCATATCAGCTCTGGAGATGCGGGGGGGAAAAACGTGATATTGCTATTAACTTCAACAGGATTTTGGGGTTAAAAAAGTGTAACTTCCACATTAATAATATTGCCTCAGCTGAATGTAAAGTAGGTTTTATCAAATACCAAGACATCACTATCACTATCTAAACATCAAACGTAATTCCTTTGCAGATGTTTGCAATAAATTGTTTTGCACAGTCAGAATGAATCTGTAATGTTCTGAAGAGGTGCTCAGTTAGAGAGCTCTACTGCAAACTAAATCATGTCCTGTAAAGGTCTAATGGTTTCCTCTTTGTTCACATCTCCTGATTCATTTAGATGTACTTTATATCAGGGCTGTCAAACTTCGGCCGGCGGGCTGGAAGCGTCACATGCTGGCCACAGTCATGCCCGGTTTAGTGAAAGGAAAAAAAGTGCAGATACATCACATGATGCCTCCATAACTACATGAGTTTGAACCCCTGCTGTATATCATAACAGAGATAGGATATGGGGCACCAGGCTCTGGCCTCTCACATGCCTTTACTGTTCTCAAAATGAAATTCCATTGGTGAGAACCATGAGATGCTTTGCAATCAAAGGGAGCACTTTTCACAAAGCATCTTGTCTCCAAAACATGCCTCACAGTTTCAGCATTCAAGTAGTTCTCGTTTAGCAATTACAATTGTGACTGACAACTTGGTCATTAAGCAAAGCAGTCACTAAATGAAAATGTTCTTATGATCTTACCTAACTTAAACTGCAAAAGTTGTAAATGCGAGGATTGGTCATAAAGCTACTTTTTCATCACCATCATAACTGTGAATAGTCACTAAACAAGGCAGTCGCTAAACTAGGACTTCCTGTATTGCTCATGCTTCTCTTTCTACAATAGAAATTGGAACTGCAATCCAGTACAAAATACTGTACTTGGGAATAAGGCCTGTTGCACCCAACAGAAGCTTTTCAAGTATTTAGCATTGGATTGTACTCTCAGTGACTTTATGTGATGAAGTGATAGAAATCTGTAAGAATAAAACTTTTGTGAATTATTAAGTGTGAAAGCAGTTATAATATAAACATTTATTTAAAACATTTTTATACTGTTCATCATGCCAAATTTGAGAGGAAGGAACAATATAAAATACTAAAATAGGAAAGAGAGTCAATAAAACTTAGCAGACTACAGTAAACCCTTCAGGTACTAGCAGAATTTCCAATGAAAATAATTCACAGGACAATATGTCTCTTCATTGTGGAGAGCATACACCAATTGATTAAAGGATTGAAACAGGAAAAAAAAATAAGTATTTAGACATTAAGTAATAAGCTATTGGAAGCAATGTCAATTATTCTTATGTAAATGACATGCCTAAGTTTTACAGGAAGAATTTAAGAATGGGAAATAATTGTCTCCCTATGCGTGGAAAAAAATTAGAATTGTACATTTGTGCTACTAGAGACCTTACCAAGACAATGACATTCATCCCAACTCAATCGTTTACAATTGGATCTCCCCGTTTTTGGGGTGGGGCACAAGAATATAATAAAATTAAATACGCGTCCCTCAACCCCTGGCAGGCAGCACAAACAGCCCTTTTTTATATGAAAGGGAAGAAAGGCATCTTCCCATCAACCAAGCTGTGCTCGGGCAAGGATTACTTTGATTTTGCAAACAGCGTCGTAAATGTGCCCGCATCCCTTCAAACTTAACATGCATTTACTCGCACGAAAGGAAAGAAAACAAGGCCCTTCCCTCCCCCCACCGCCACCCCTCCCCCACCTTACTGCATTGGCCAAGCTCTGCGCTCCCTCCCCCACCCAGCACTAAAATGCTTCAGACCGACGTTCCCTTCGCAGACCCCTTACTTACATCCTTAGCCGCCGCAGCCGAGCGAGGGAGCGAGGCGCGTCCTGCCTTCCTCCGGAGAGCGAAAAGACGCCGGGCGCCTGGGTCGTCCGCCCCTTCGGAGGGAGGCGGAGCCGGCGGCAAGGGGAGCCCCGCCCTCAGCGGCTTCAGCCTAGGAGCCGAAGCGCGCGCAGGAGGCGAGCCCGCCCGCCCGCCCGCCGTCGCCTCTGGGCGCCTCCCTCTTCTTTTGCCGACTTTGACAGGAGTTCCGACGGGTCTTTTTTTTCGCCGCAAGTCCGCGGAGGAGGGAGCAGCCGCTCGCGCCGCCAACTCCAGCCGGGGCTCCCCTCGCCTGGATAACTCCCCCCGCCCACGCGCCAGAGAGGCAAGGAAGCCGAGCTCGACCCGGCGGCGACCAGCTCTCCACGGAGCATGTCGGAATCCAGAGCCCAGAGCGCGGCGGCGGACAAGGAGTCTCCCAACCTGGTGGTAGGGCTCCTTTCGCTGGCCCTTTTCTCCCGCCTTCTTGGCCTTTCTTTCTGTCTCTGACTGTCCCTCACTTTCTGACGCCCTTTCCTAATTCTCCCTCTCCCCCCCCCCCCGCCCTCCCCACCCTTGGCTTTCCCTCCTGGCTGACCTGAAATCCCTGCCCATGTTTCTCTCCCACCCCCTTGCCTCTTTTTTTTTTTTTTTTTTGCTTTCCTTGCCAGGCCCAGCTGTTTGGGGGGCTACGGTGGGGGCGCCTGGGGGCGCCCCCGGGATTCATTACGGTGCTGGAGTGGGTAAGTTTCCCCCTCCGGGCGCCAATTTTCCCCCTTTTCCCCCCCCCCCCCCCCCCCCCCCCCAACCTGGTTCCCAACCTGATAGGGAAGGATGACAATGCGCTAAAACTGTTGCCTTGGTGAAGTTTCATCAAGGAAAGGGGCCACACGAGGCTGGGAAATTGGACCTGGGTTGTGTGCAGGAGCCGGTGGAGGGGAGTGCCTCCTCAGGCAGTCCTTCTATGTGCAAAGGAGTCTGGATTTGTGGACTTGGGGTATGTATGGGAACAGTGGCGAGCTGCGCTCACATTTCACTCAGGCGGGTTTAACCTTTTTGGAGCTCTGATTCTGCACATACCACGCCTTAACTTGTCCCTGAGCTCACAAATTCTCTCTCTTCTCAGCCTTCCCAAGAGGAGATTAGAAGCTCTGGGTTTATTTAGTCCACAGCACAGACCCAGTGCCAGGAGGCTCCGCTCCAACACTGTATTTTTGTGTGTCTCTTTCCATGGGAGAGGAGCATTTCAATTTCAATTTGATCCCTAGGGACATTTTCAGATTTCTACCCATTTTAATGCAAAAGTTAGGGGATGGGAGAGAGAGAGAGAAACAGAATAAGCCTTAAAGGACCCAAATCAACTTTCTGTTTCTTAAAAAGAAAAAAAAGAAAACCCACTTCCTTTTTTTTTTTTTTTTTACAAAATTCTGTTTTATGTTATAAACATCCATATATGGCACTGTTATTGAATAACATGCTGTACCACCATTTGTTCTATCTTTAGACAATAGTGGTATTACTTAAACATGAAGAATACATTTTGTCAAAATCATGTAGTTAATGATTCCAATACAAAGGGTGTCCAATACAGGTTCAGACTCTGAAAAGAACCAGGGAGGAACTGAGCGATAAGGGGGGAAAAACCTGAACTAACAGCATTCTATCTAAGTGTGCAGCAAATTTGGATGAGTTTAAACTTCTATGAAAACACATCTCACGTACTTTAAAGATAATGCAAGTGGGTCCCTTGGTAAATGGCAAGGACTTGTCTTTGCATGATGCATGGCTTGAGGACAGCAATATGAATTGCGATATGAAGATTCTGGTTGTGGCAATTTTGTGCATTGAGTGACTGCTTAAAGCACTGGATCATGAGAATAATGTTGCTCTAAAGTCTTATGACGAATGGCACAAGTGGCCTTCCATTATACATCAAGACATTAGGTTATGCAATATAAGTAGTAGTTTGTGTCATCTTTTATTGTTTTAAATATGTGCATAGGGTTCTTTCACAGTCTGCAATTGACCCTTCATATGTTTTTATTATGCTGTGTAATTGCCTGACAAGGTCTTAAGCATTTTCAGTTCTCTTTACACTTTTTAGCATTGTGATAAGACATTATATCAATCATGTCAAGAAGCTTCCCTTTTAGAATGTAGGCTAAAATTAGCATGGTTAAAAAAGCAAGAAAGTTCTAATGACAAAGCTCCTCAGTAAAAGTCATAGTGACTGTATCTTGAAAGGATTAAAAGAATCCTACCAGATCTATCCATTTCATTCAATGATAATGTCTTAGCTTGGGAAGTGTTAACTACTGAAGAGCCAAAACCAGATTTTTCATGTTTTCTTGCCTTGAGTACACAGGGATATTTTTCGTGATATGTGGCTGCACACACAGCCTGCAGTGGTACGGATAGTATTTTCTGAATACAGAATTTTCTTTTCTATATATCAGTGGTAGTCAACCTGGTCCCTACCACCCACTAGTGGGCGTTCCAGCTTTCATGGTGGGCGGTAGGCGTTTTGTCCCCTACTTTATAAATCACCATTACTGTGGAACCAGTGGGCGGTTAGAGAAAACTTTACTACTAACAGAGATACAAAAGTGGGCAGTAGGTATAAAAAGGTTGACTACCCCTGCTATATATGTAGAAGCTTTTTCTCAATTATATGTTTCACATCTAGCAAAATACTTGAGAACCATGCTAGTTCTTTTTTTTCTATACAGATAGAAAATATAGAGTTGGCTCTAAATTCATAGAAGTCAGCACTTAAACAGTTGCTTTGGGATAAGTCAGTCCTGCTCAGAGTTTGAGCCTGATTCTTCCCCTGGTGCAAAAGTAGGGTTGAGAACCCTACTGCTGTCATCAGCTGTTATGTAAAATCTGGAATTGCAAATAGTAATTACAGATTTCATGGAGTACTGGAGCTCATGAAAGGAAAGTCAGTATTGGCTGCCAGTAAACATGTCTGGATAAAGTTTATTAAATCAAGGCACAGGTGGTCCTTCACTTACAACAGTTCATTTAGTGACCATTCAAAGTTACAATGGAAAAGTGACTTATGACCATTTGTCACACTCATGACCATTGCAGCATCCCCATCGTCATGTGGTCAACATCCAGACACTTGGCAATTGATTTGTATTTATGATGGTTAAAGTGTCCTGGGGGGGTCATGTGATCACATTTTGCAATCTCCTCCAAGCAAAACCAGTGGGGAAGCCAGATTCACTTACTAACTGGGTTACTAACTTAACAACTGCAGTGATTCACTTAACAACTGTGGCAAGAAAGGTCATAAAATGGGGCAAAACCCACTTAACAAATGTCTCATTTAGCAACAGAAATTTTGGGCTCAATTGTGGTTGTAAGTCAAGGACTACCTGTACCTGCTTTATTAGGATAGGGGGGGAAAATGAGAGCCTGACAGATACAGTCGCCTTTTTCTGAGCTGTTTATATTATAATTTTGTTGCAACTGTTACTTTTAGTTCCATCTAAATGCTATACATCATGACAAAACCTTCTTTTACTCCTTTCTTTTACCCTCTTTCTTGTATCACTCACATTTCTCTGCACTTACATAGACACAACTAATTCTGAAGTTCTTCAGCCATAATGGTATTTAAGCAGCACATCTGCTAGCTTTCATCGGTTTTCCTAGCTGAGCTTATGGAAACCCATAGGGAGTACAGTGCAGCCTTCATTATAATAGCTGAATAGTTGGATTTTGGTTAGTCCTGTTTTGGCTGGATGTTAGTCTCAGGCTCAGCCAATGGGGTCTTTCAAACCAGGGACCAGTGTCTGATTTAGGCTCTTCTGTTGTTGCTTTGTTGTTCAAAGTTGAACCCACCCAGGATGTCTTACCAGGTCTTGCATGGCCCATATTGCTATATATGCATATGTGTGAGAGAGTTGAGCCTAATGGTAAATGAAACAGTTTTTTGTTCAACTGGCAAATCCTTTTTTTCCCCCTCATTCATTTTTATCTGATCTACCACAGTGCTTGAAGAATACTCTTGATTTAGCTTTTCTTGATATCTAGTGCATTGTTATATATGGCCCAAATCTAAACTGACAATTTTGATTAGCTGAAACCTCTTGTATTCTCTAACCTATGCAAAGGGAGATAAGCTTGGCAATGCTGATGTGATCATAAGCGAAGTTTATACGTAGCAAGAGCAGACTGAAATTTAATTTTGGTCTCTTCCAACACTAGCATCTGCTTTTATACAGTATACCTATTAGTCTTGACTTTCTACAGCTTTTGCTGAGTTTTGCCTATTACAAAAATAATGCATATCTCTGAATGGAATGGTGTGTTTAAAATGAATAAATCTATCAGCTTCAAGTGCATTCTTACACTGTGGATTTCACTTTTTGGGCGGGGATTGATTTTATGTAGCTTCAGGCAATTTATATTGAAACAAAATATTTTTTATATATGTGGCATAATTGTTGTTTGTCCCATATTTATGGGCAGACTTCAGTCAAACCATTTAGCTTTCTATTGAAGCTGATGGAATTATTTCAGTTACTTTTCTGACAGATGCTTTTTTTAAAAGCTATTGGTTATATCTAAGGATTCTAATACTGCTTACTATCCTGCAAAAAAGCAAGACATACATTGTTCTTTTTTTAAATTTGATGCTTTTTTTCTTATAGAAATTGAGTATAAACCTGGTTATTTTTTCTGCAGAGTTGGCTTCCCGCAAGCTATTTCTTTTCTTTCTTTCAAGATTTTTTAAATCTATCCAAGAAAATATGCAGGTTTTAAAAAATTGATCAGGCGTGTGTATTGCTTGCAAATTGTTTCTTCAATGGCTGATGTGCATTGGTGATTGATGTGGTTTTATTAAAAACACTGGGCCATTATAAACCTTGGTAGTATGCAATTTGTACGGTCTTGGGATTGTTCACAGGAGTTGGTAAAGCTCAATATGTTGCCTTGTTTAGAGAGGGTTTTTTCCTATTGATTGTTGACAGATTTAATTCTAAACTCCTCTCCCCTTTCTCCTCAGCTCTTTGCCATTTTTGCCTTTGGAGCCTGTGGTTCTTTCAGTGCAGAAACAGGGGCTACTGTGAAATGCACCAAGCCTCCCAAGGAGACAACTGCTATTACTGTGCAGTTTGGATATCCTTTCAGGTAAATGAAAAGCTGACAGAGTACAGATATGGAAGATATAATGTGAAACTCAACACTGTTGAGCCTTTAGTAAAGGGGAAATAAAAATAGCCTTTAGTAAAGGGGAAATGGTTACTTTATATTTCTTAGAGTTCTTCTTATGAAGATGTCCTTAAATCTTTTTCAGTGACAAGTAATTTTTTAACTAGAATCGCTCAATATCGCAGGCTATTTTTCAAACTATTCCTCTAGAGTTGCTTTAAACCTCTTAACTACTGATTTAAAATAAATTGCATTAAGCAGTGGAAGAATTGTAGCATTATTACAGCAACGGCCGGACACTGCTCTGCATAGTATGACATTCAGAAATCTCACTTAAGTATGTTAGCTTGGATGTGCTAAAAAAAAATTTGGGTTCCTTTTGGGTTTGTTTTTTTAATGCCTCCAATTGCTCAGATCACTTTGAGAATTCTTTTAGTTTTCAAAGTGATTCGTCATGCAGCATAGAGTATTACTACTCAATGCCTTGATTGCACAGAGCAGATTTTATAAAACTCTGAATCCCTTTTCTTTTTTCCAGTTGTTCAGAGATTTGAAGACTGTTCGTGCAGGAAAATATAATTCATCCAAGAAACTAGTGTATGCATGCCACAATAGAAACCACTTCTGACCCACTGTGCAGACACAGTGCTATTGGATCTTTGATGTTTGAAAAAAAGATTCAATGACATATATAGTATAAATAAGCTACATGCCATATATTGGAATATTCCCACATGAGAAAGTTCTTGTTACATAACACTTAACAGTGAATTAGAAAATGCATTGACCTGCAGGAAGAGGAGCTACTGTGATTTTCAGAAAACTTTGTAGGTGAAGAGGTTAACCCAAATGTATTATTTTCTGGGCCATTATATCTAGAAGTATACCATCCATTATTTTGTTTGGGGATATATCTGTTCCGTTCTGACGGCTGGAAACCAAGCCTCTTTTCTCCCAAGACATCAGAATCTCCAATAGGAGTGTATTCTCAGTACAGAACTATTAAGACAAGCATTACCACCAGCTTATATCACTGCATCTATTTAAAAAGGGCTCATGTCTGAAATATCTCGGTTAGAGACAACCAAATGAGGTGAGAATTCTGTTTCCAGCTGGGTACCTTGCTTCCAGATTGGCATTATCTCCAAGATTGGCAGGTGGAGGTCCCAGCTGCCTTGCATTTGTATTTCAGCATGTTGATATGAGTAGTTTGATTCCTTTCCGCCACACCCCCGCTGTGGTTTCAAATATATTAAATTGTATTTCAAATGATATGAGGGGGAGAGTTGGATAAAAATAATATCATCTAAAACTTTGAGAGCACCACTTCCCGAGGGCAATTTTCATTGAGGAGTTTAGCAGATGTCAATTGAATTTATGCACTTTATGCACATGGTTGTACTCTGTGAATTAACACTGGCAGATCATAGTGTAGCAAAATTGAATCATCTGAATTAAATTAAAATAATGATTATGGTACAACATTCCTGAATTGTTGTTTCCCTTTCTTCTTTCCTCTCACTTCCAGATGAGTATTGCTATAGCAGGTTACTAGCTGTGTAGGAAACTGCTGTGTAGCCAGAAATACAATAAAGCATTCTGAAAACTCTGATTTTGCTTTGAGAGGAAAAGGAATATTTTTGTTACAAACTTAAAAGCAGCAGCTGACCTGATACAGCTGTCATTTATTGAGAGTCATATAAACCAGTAAAAAAAAATCAGCAGTTCTGGTTCCGGTTTGAAGGGCTTCAGCGACAGACAGAAATCTGCGATCGTGCGCAGTTTCTGTCTGGGCTCACCGCTGGAGCGCCCCGAGCCAGCTGGTTTCGGGTCTAAGCCACCCCGTAGAGGTGGTGAAGAGTGGGGAGACTGCCAGCAGGGTTGAGGAGAGCTGCATCTCTCCTCAGCTGGCCATTACTCCCTTTCCCGAAGGCGTTTGTAGCAGTGGTCAGAAATGGCCACCACAAAGGAGAACTCGACTGGAAAAGAATGTGCAGGAGGAAGATAAGAAGTGAAAGTTTTGGCTGACCGGGTTAAATTGTAAAAGCAACAACTAAGGTACCCTGGAATTTAAACTTACAAAAAATAACATCGCTCCCAAAGAAGAGTCGGAAGCAGCGAAGGAAAGTGAAAAGGGAAAGGTTTGGCTTTTTTTTCCTTCTCTCTCCTTCCCTATACTGACAACTAAGAGACTTAAATAAGAAATCAGAAAAATCCACTTTGACATCAATAGGCAATTAAGCTGAAAATAAAACAAAATGCCAAAGGGATAATAAAGATTTCTGGACATTAAAAATTTTCTTTTTCATAAGCAGGAAGGGAGAGAAAAAGAACAAGGGCAGGATCTGGAAGAGGGAGGAGACTGCCTAGAATTAAAAAGAATCTACAGTAAAACTTCAACAAGACTTCTAAAAGATACATTTTAACTGAAACTTTGCAACTAAATAGTAACCCCAGGAGGAGAAAGTGAAAAAAAAGAGCAAAAAAGAAACAGCTTGTGTGTATTTGGATTATTTGGTGATCTTTGGATTCTTGGTTATTATATTTGAATGACTAAAATCAATCGGGTGGTTGTTTAAAAATTTATACAATGGCACCACTTCTGGATGAATTGAAAATGGAATTTAAAAAGTACAAAGAAGATGCACAAGAAGGGAAGGGTTCTTTTGGCTTCATCTTTCAATTCTTAGAAATGGAGATTTGGAACTATGAGAAACAACAAGAAAAGACTGCAAAACAAGAAAAAGACTGGAACAAAGAAGAAGCCATCTTTAATGAACAAGCAATTTTATGTGGGGAAGAAAAAGGAAAGGGGGGGGAAAGAGAATGGAGAATTTAAGACTTAAAAAAACAACCAAAGAAAAGAAAAATAATTTGAAAAATAAGTACAATACTGGAAAAATATAAATACAATGATTTGAATTGAGATGAGATAATTAAAATAAAATTGAGAAAATTAAAAGAGGGGAGAAGCTATGCAGAAAATGTAAAATAGTAATAAGATATGGAATAGAACATAAAAATGAGCATGAACCTGAATTTGTGTCTGTACGAAGAAATGTAATCCGGGATTACGCTACTTTCAAAAAAGATCTTTTATTTGTATTTTTTTTTCTCTTTGTGAAAACTCAAATAAAATTTACAAAAAAAAATATATCAGCAGTTCTTTATCTAAATCTTAGTGATCTAAGATTTGGTGGCCTTGGTGACCAGTGCCATTGCTAAAAACAAGAGGCAGCATTGGAGTATACATAATATCCTAAACTTCTTTTTGGTATGCCAGATCAGATAGAAGGTTATATTTTTGTGGAGCACAAATCAGCACAACAAAAACTTTCTACATTACATGGAGATGCCACCACAAGGCTTTTGGATAAACAGAAACAAGATCTAAGCTGGAATAAAATCAATGCATGAAAGATCTAACATGGTTATATCTGTGTGCATCTTTCCCTCCCTGCCAACATCTGATAGCTATAAATAGAGGCATGTCTGTGAAGTATTTTAAAATGCCTTTGACAAGAAGGGGAACAAATTGGAAGGGTTGTTGTGGTACTGGCAGTGACAGTTCAAAACAAAATATAGTATCTTAATGAATTGTATATGGGTTGAAAAACATTTTAGGTGGAATAGATTCTTCCCTCCCCATCCTTCGAGGCCTTTTTGTCTCTTGAATTCAGATTTATGTTAGGCATGGTTGCTAAGGATACAAACCTCTTCTCTCATAGTTGTATTTTCATTGCAAGAAATTCTGTATATGCACTGTCAATTGTTAAACTAGCATTACAATAAACCCATACATTATGGTTTGCAACAGGGAAATCTCAAATAAATTCTTTTCCTTTACATTTTTTCCAAGATGCATGTTCAATATGAGTCACACTAAAAATAATATGGAAATAGAATAAGGCAGTCTATGATGTGATACATGGATGTGTTGGAAGCAAGGAGAGCTTGCAAGTACAGAAAGTTATAAAGGTGCACTGAGAAACTAGATTTAGCTGTATTTTTTCCTAACTCATACCTTTATTTTTTGACTTTATAAAAATATTTTTACACATATGTTTACATAACATTGCTTAATCCAAAAGGGTTTCTCCGCATATAAATTGAAAATTTTAAAGTATCATCTCTTTAACCCATTAATTCTGATAATCTTTTCCAAAGAAGGTTTAGCTACTTTTTAAATTCACATTTATTAAAATTGGTATAGGGTCTGAGAGAATCTGCCAAAGTATTTTATTAGTGTTGTTATTGGCAAGAAAATTTATCAAGATTTATCATAAAGACTTAAATGGATGTACACTAAACAGGACTGGATAGGACACGAGGCAGTCTCATAAAATCTTGAGCCAAACTGTGCTGTTCAGGTGTTTGTTTCAGACAACTGTTTTTAAAAAATGGCTGCTTGGTACTTTTCATTTTTGTCTCGAAGAAAACTGTTTAAAACCTGCAAAATACATTTTAACGAAGATGGGAATGAGGCAAATATATATGGTATTTCCTCCATACAGTTTTCTAGATGTTAGAGATACCCTGTAGCCTAATTCTTCTGTACTAAGTACTCAAATTACATTTAAGCTATTTCTCTTGCTTTCGTTTTCAATTTGACCAGGTTGTATAAAATCCCATTTGATATGCCAGATTGTATCGAAGGATCAACTTCTAAAAGAATGCTGCATCTCATGGGAGACTTTTCTGCACCAGCTGAATTCTTCGTGACCTTGGGGGTTTTTACTTTTCTATATACCATGGCAGCTCTTGCAGTATATCTACGATTTCACTCCCTCTATAAGGAAAATAAGAAGCTACCTTTTGCGGTAAGATCTCAAGTTTGGTTTTCAAGTTCTTTAGATTTCAAGTCCTACATCACAGAACCAATTCTATACAAACACAATTCATTTAGAGCAAACTCCATTAACAAAATGATCATTTCTGAATATGAAACCTGAGAAAAAGGGTACAATGCTCCACTATGTATGTTTACAGGTAGTCCTTGTTTAAGGTTCGAATGAACATTGGCCTCATTGCAAAACATCACACACACACATATACATGGTCACATAATTGCAATCTGGTTGTTTGGCAACCTGTTCACATTTACCAGAGGTGGTATTCAGCAGGTTCTCACTAGTTCTGGAGAACCGGTAGTGGAAATTTTGAGTAGTTCAGAGAACCAGCAAATACCACCTCTGACTGGAGATTTTACAGTATCCTTCCCCTGCCACACCCACCAAGCCACGCCCACAGAACCGGTAGTAAGAAAATTTGAATCCCACCACTGACATTTACGTTCGCAGTTGCCAAGTGCTATTCAATAATGCATTCAACATTTGCAATCTTCAATGGGGAAGACAGCGGGAAAGGTTTCAAGCTGCTACCACCTGCTAAAACTCCCTCTCCCCTCTGGGGTTTGTTGAAAGAGCCTGCTTGCATGGAGCTGAAATCCTTCATGCCTGCTTGCATGGAGCTGAAATCCTTCACGCCTGCTTGCATGGAGCTGAAATCCTTTAGCAGGGAGCTCTTTCACCCAACCCCCAAAGACAAGAGGGGAGCCAAAATCCAAGCAGGATTTTCAGGTACTGACTGGAGGGGAAGCACGGTAAGGCAAGGGGTGTGGGTGCAAGGGGAAGGTATTTATTTATTTATTTTTATTTATTTATTTGATTTGCCAATTGTTTACAAGATAATAAGTATAAGTGTATACATAGTTGTGAATACATGAAATGGGTACATATAAGAAAAATAAAAGAAGAATAAGAGAAACAATAGGACAGGGACGGTAGGCACGTTGGTGCGCTTATGCACGCCCCCTACAGACCTCTTAGGAAAGGGGTGAGGTCAATAGTAGACAGTCTAAGGTTAAAGTTTTTGGGGTTTGGGGAAGAAACTACAGAGTCGGGTAGAGTATTCCAGACATTGACCACTCTATTGCTGAAGTCGTATTTCCTGCAATCAAGTTTGGTGCGGTTAACTTTGAGTTTGTATCTATTGTGTGCTCTTGTGTTGTTATGGTTGAAGCTGAAGTATTCATTGACAGGTAGGACATTGCAATGTATGATTTTATATACCATGCTTAAATCAGACCGAAGACGCCCTAGGAGGCTTGGTGCAGGTTGCATATGAATATCTTTCTGCTCAGAGGCTGAAATTTCAAGTGAAGATACATTTGCTGAGGGGAGATACATTTGCGCAGAGCCTACAATGGATCTCCTAGAGTCTTTCCCAGTCCCAAGGTACCCTAGGCTCCTTAACTAGGACTTTATCCACTTAACAACCATAAGATTGCTTAATTGCCACAACTGAGTGTGCCAAAATGGTTGAATGAAGCCGTCGTTTTATTTATTTGTTAAATTATTTGCTGCCTGTCTCGCCATGGGGCTACTCAAGGTGGCTTACAATAATAAAAAGGGAGAAAAGGAAAGGAGTGCAGACAGAAGTGAAATAATAGAACAGTGAAATAAACCAGGGGTCTCCAACCTTGGCAACTTTAAGCCTGTTGACTTCAACTCCCAGAATTCTGGGAGTTGAAGTCAACAGGCTTAAAGTTGCCAAGGTTGGAGACCCCTGAAATAAACAATGACAAAGGAAAACAACAAGAATAAAACATTAATCTGATAACCAAAAAGGTGGATGGGAAAACAGAGAGCAAGGTGGAGGGGGATGTGGAGCCTGCCATCCATCCAGCAGTCCCTTCCAGTGTGGAACTCTCATTCGGTCCCCAGAGAAAAACCAGGTCTTTAGATCATGGGATGACTTGCATAAACAACTCCTTCACTAAATGTCTGAGATTTCAGTCCCAATTGTGGTTGTTAAGGGAGGACTACTTGCATCCAATTTGGAAGTCCTATCTTCTTTGTTTTGCATTTTTATTGACCTTGGAGTACTAGCACAAGAAGAATCAATCTATGCAACAGTATTATCATCTGATTCATGTGATGTGGTTAGTTTGGATTTGCTTATCCATGATTTGTTGAATAAGTCACAGTTGGTTTATAAACCAATAATGGTTGAGGCAGCAGCAAACAAACTATAATATGACTAGGTGCAGCATGTATACCTTACTATGCAGTGGAGTGATCATTGTTATCCGACAAATAGTGTGAAATAACAAGCATGCCTGATTAAAATAAATGGTCTGCCCCCACATTTGGCCATGAGTATTTTGGATGAAAGGATGTAGCAGAATAGAGCTACTGTCATGGAGTATACTAACCATGACTCTTTCTCTCTCTCTTTCCCCCTTCATTCAGGACTTCTGTGTGTCTGTCTCATTTACCTTCTTTTGGCTGGTGGCATTTTCAGCTTGGGGCAAAGGTCTATCAGATGTGAAAGGAGCTACACGGCCTTCCAGCCTTATTGCAGCCATGTCAGTATGTCAATTCAAAAATGCAGTGTGCAATGCTGGGGCCACTCCTTCTATGGGTTTGGCCAACATCTCTGTGGTAAGAGTTGCTTGGAAGTAATATAATGATTGGGAGGGAGAGCATGTAGAGTACAGCTGCACTATAGTACCATTCCATTTCTTTTACTAAATCAAAGCCATTCCGAAAACCGACAGGGCTAGTCTTTTAAGTCGTCTTCTGCAGTAACTCTGAAATTATGTCATGAAAGAGGCTGAGCAAACACATCATTTTTGCAAACAGAAACTTCAGTTTAAGTTTGCTCAACAAGCAGTTGCTAATCAAGAGAAGGCAAATCATGGTGATTAAAGAAGAATGAAGAACAGCATAAGTATACAAATACAAGAAGTATATCTAAAATATTACAGTTTAAAACATGATTGTTTAACATTTAAAAGGAAATATTGAAAAACAGCAGTGGGTTTAAAATAAAAGTCAGGCAATATAAATTATTTGTAGAACGTTAGCCATCAATACAAACATGCCTAATAAAAACAACAGCAAAAATGTTACTTGGAAGAGGTACATTTCTGAATATATATATTCCTTGGGAAGGATTTAAAATACACTACTACCCCCACCTCCCCAAAGTAGGAGGAAAAGAGAGGACTTTATCTGCTTATTGTAAGATTCACATAGAAAGATACCAGAGGTTGTATTCAGCAGGTTCTGACCAGTTCTGGAGAACCTGTAGTGGATATTTTGAGTAGTTCAGAGAACTGGCAAATACCACCTCTGATTGGAGATTTTACAGTATCCTTCCCCTGCCACGCCCACCAAGCCACGCACACAGAACTAGTAGTAAAAAAAAAAAATTGAATCCCACCACTGAAAGATACCCTGACTCCAAACTGGGTGGGGTTTATGTTCTACTGAATACAATCATTATTATTGAAATTCACATATAAGGAATATTAGCCCTTCCTCTCATTTCATTATTTTCTACTTAGGTTACAGTATTACCGATTTGATTGTTCAGTGGATAAAGAACAGACAAATAGACAGAATATCCAGTCAAGGCAGCATAATTTCGTAACGGACAGGCCGATTTCAAAATTATGTTCGTCTGTGACTTTGGATCTCACAAAAATAAGCATGAGAAAGTATTTCTACTGTGCATGAACATGTGTAAAAACAGTGGAAGATGGTTGTTTTTCTGTTCTTTAATTATTGTGAAAATCTGAACAAGGGGGCATTAAAAAGTACTGAACTGACTTTATATAAGTACTCAGCCTTCACCAATAACTGCTTTGTATTAACTATACACTTCTCATTTTCTTCCTCAGCTGTTTGGTTTTGTCAACTTTATACTCTGGGCTGGAAATTGCTGGTTTGTTTTTAAAGAAACCCCTTGGCATGCACAGACCAGCAACAAGGAAAATTCTGCTGAACAAGGGGCTGTTGATAAGCAATAAGGAAACCCCACTCCCCCATTGAAGCCGCCTTCTCCTCACCTTCCCCAAATCAAGAACATGCAGTCCCTTTGCTCGTCCCATGCAGGAAATATGTCTTCTCTGCCATTTTTGCTACTGTTTAGCAGTCATATTGGCTTCCCTTTGTGACTGAAATGGGAGGCCTTTCTCCAGCTGCAATCATTGGTCTTCTTGTTGTTGTAGATACACAGACTGTCCATAGTTACAACAAAACTCTTCTTTATTTGGATATTTTATAAGCATATGCTACTGTACATTTTCACATTAGTCACCTATCTCAGGATGTATGGCAATATGTCTTTACCGATGACTTTTATCATTTTTTAAAAATGAAGCCAGTAGAGTTGAATAAGAACCTGGAGAAAACCAAATAATTAAAACCACAAAACTTGGGACATCTAAGTGCCTTAGAGAGAAAATAGTCTACTTTGTAGCTATAATAGATGTAGAAATAGTAACATGCCACTTGGCTGAGCAGCAAAATAAAATAAAAACAAAAAAGTTTTTTTTTACCTTTAATACATTTAAAGGCAGGAAGCAGGGTGTTACATTTCTCATTTTGTATTACAGAGTATACATATTCTAAACATATTTTTGCTTCAATTAAGTGCAATTGATTACAACTTAAGATACTGTTTGCACACAGGTGTCTTGATCGGCCTTGCATGGCTAATATGGAAAAGGTTTTTTTTAAAAAAAAACAACCAAATTGAAATAAGAGAAAGTCCTCATTGATCATTTTGAGCCACAAAGGGTAATCCTTGCCAATGTGAGCTGGTTTTGCTAACCCTAGATTGCACACAAATGTTGACCATCCAGAAGTAGCTTTAGTGGAATACTTCTAGCATTCTAGAATTTGACATCTGTTTCAAAATCTCCTTGAAATTTTGTTTTATTTTAAAATATTTCACAATATGAACTTCTTTGAATATGCAGACTAATTCAATTCACCTGAATTTAAGACAGCCCAAAACTTGGCTGAGAAACATGCAGAGCACAGATTGGATTGTTTTATATAACTTACGATATTGTTCAGAATCTTTGTGTCTAGTAACTTAGCAATGGCCTTTAAATCCTCTGTAATGGAAATAGTTAATTCTTCATTTTTTGAATTGATTATCAGTTGCTAATGTATACTTGTTCGTATCTCGAATTTAACTCCCATTTGGCTGCAATTAGCAACATCATTTGATGGTGACATGAGCCACCCTAATCACCCAGGTTGCTATGGGAATTCTTAAGGAAGCTTTTAGCAACTCTGGGTGTCTCTTAGGTAGAGGACAAGACTGCCAGAAATTAAGTGTAGTATAATAAATCTAGCTTTTCCTTTCCTCCATCTTTTTAATTAGAAACAACTTGCTCTTGAGAATATCAGCTATTCTCAAGCTATTTCCACCCCTCAATCCTTAAATCTCTGTTTCAAATAGACCTAAACTTAAACGGGGGGAGTGGATAGCTTTTAGGAAGGTGAGGGATGCCTGAGTATGGAAGGATGATGATTTTCTCTGTTGAATTCAATCTATTACATCAGACCTTGTTTGGCCTTGGACTTTCTCTTATTTCCACATCTTCTTTTATCAGCAAAGGGAGAAGAAATCTTAATATTACTAATACTGGTGCTTTGTTAGGTGTGGGACCTTCATGTTAAGCAGGTGTCCTTTGTATTTTTTGTAAACTTCCTTTTCTTCCTGAATTTTTATTACTGGTACTTCTTTACCACAGTGATAGTTTTTAGGAAATCCTGTGGCATTTTGGCATTGAAACTATGATATGTAGTCTCCTAATGGCCCTGCAGTGTCCTTTTTTTTTTTTTGAAGAAGAAGAAAAAGGTTACTATAAACCAAAAAGAAAACTGTTTGACTAGCTTAGAATAACTTTCTCTGGTAGTCCATCATGTGTGCAACAAATTAGTCCATACCTAGCTTTTAGCTAATAGTGTGTCTTTAGATAATCATTCATTTCAAGGAGTTCTATTTTTTTTCTGAAACACTGAACCTACAAGTGTAGTTAGATATGTGTGTCTTTCATCTTGTTTATATCTTTGATTCATTCTTCTGAATCTTACAGATTACTTGCTACCTTTGCAAAGATTTGTCCAAGATCCTCAATTAATAAAAATCAATGTCACAATACCGTTATTGTTTGCTACCAATTGAAGATCTGACATTTGTGCAAATATTGAACAATATTTTGTAAATTGATGCTGTAAACAGAAACAAGTATCTGGTGCATTCTGTCCCCTTGGCAGTAAACATTCTTTAAAAAGTATACGATAGTTGCATGCCATTGGTCATGCAAATTCTGCAAGCCACTTCCTGACTTAAAATATGCTTGCTTCTGTATTTGAAATAAATACAGTTGTGTTACATTTGCCATTTCTTCTGTAGCCAACATAGAAGAGAGATGTATAACAGCTGACCAGGCAGCAGGTGCAGATAAACCCATTACACTGAATCCAAAGCCATCCTAGATGACTGACTCACTGTCCTGAGGCTGTATCTTGGGCATGACATATGCTAGAAAGAATGAAGGGCCACTGCTTTTGCTGCCTTTGGGTTTTTGAAAATTGAAGCATAGCATTTCTTATAAATTCAGTGTAGCAAATGGTGATTAATGATGTGTAACTAAGATGCTCATGTTGTCTATCTTCTCTGTCCTGGGAAAATAAACATTTCTATTGAAAGTGGAGCAACCAATAGGTCATTACTGAATTCTGGGCATCTATTCTTACCAATTCTGCTTACTTTCTCAGGCATTTTACTCTTCTAGTGACAGGATATTGCATATTTTTGCTCTCCTAGTGATTGTTAGTATTGTTCTAATAAAATATTTGGAGAGTTCACTTTGAAGGGCTATAGCCTTTATGTACACTTATAGTTTTGCTTTGATCAATGTCCTATCTAGTTCCTAAGTATAATTGCCTTAATGACAATGTTACTGAACTGTCTATTTTCCAGAGATTGACTGTTTTAGAACTTTTGTATTTGGTGTAGCGTATGACAAGTTTTACATATATTCACATACACATACTTGTCAGTACATGGTGTCTTCTAACTTTTAAACATATAATATATGGTGGGCAAACGACAAAAAATGGTTTTGTCAAAAATTTGCAAGTGATTTTGTAGCCAGACTATTGCCTATGTTATATATTTTCTCTGTTATGTTGTGGTTACAAAGTGGAAAGGATGAAAAAGATTCCCAATGTGATCTGAATTCGTTGTGTGCATTTAGTGTGATTGGTTGAGATGCCTAACTGAATAGTATTTATTCTATGTAGAATACATGCATGCACTATAAATAGACAAATACCTGTAAAGCATATAGCCGAAATTTTGGCATAATGCCAAAATATTCAAAACAAGAGTACCTTTTAGGTTGCTCAGTCTCTGACCATCAATCTTCTAAATCATTTGTTTCATTTTTACCTATTTTTAATAGAACAATGTGTTTCTAATGTGCAACTAAAAATATACCCTTTTTATGGCAACCGAGTCAAAAAATTGCTGCCTTCTAAGTGATAATCTTTAAAATATTAGAAGAGTGCCATCAAATTTTTGTTGTATTTTTCTCTCCAAATTAAGCATATTTCACCATGTCCAGAACATTTGAGGAATTTAAAACATGGCTGTGTGTTTTATCTGAAAAATAGAACTATTTATTCCAACATAGATGGATAAAAATGACAAATCTAGTCTAAATATCTGACTGACCTGTGGCAAGTATAATAATAATAAACCACTGATTGAATAGGCTAGCAGTTGATTGCAGTCTGCCCTCTTGTCTCTAGTTTATAATGAAGCCTTTTCTTGCTCTCTTCTTTACCACTACTCACTGTATTGATCTAATCTAAAGCATATATAAGGCATTGAAAAAGGAACAGTATTGAGATATATGTGGGAGGCGATTCCATTCTGATGTTAAAACAATGTTTTGTGAGGAAATAGAGAGAAAGAGAAGGCCATCCATGGAATTTCATGAGTGTTGGGGGATTTGAACTTTTATTCTGCAAGATACCTCAATGATTTGTAACAAAATAAAATAACATAAAATATTGGAAAGCAAAAAAGTGTATTGGTTTTTTTAAAACATAGACATAAGTCCCTTTTTACCTTGTTGAAAACAAGGGGAGATAGGGATGTGGAGAGTTGGAGATTAATAACCCCAAACATATTCAGGTAAGTGAAGAAAAGTTCTATTTTGCATTTTTTAAAACAACTTTTTATTTATTTTAAATTGAAACATGCATAGATGCTGTTGAAGATGCCACTTTCCATTATTTGTAACAAGGCATCTCATGCATATGGTCAGACTGGCTACCATATGATGCGTTATCTACTTCCGGCTATTTTCATGGAAGTCTGAAAAACTTCCCCACCCAGACTGATTCTGATTTGGTGAAGTCAAGATGTCAGGGGAAACAACTGTTGGATTAATTGAGGACACAAAAGCCACTGCTGGCACTGTGATGAGACAGGTGTTCTGATACTTACCGTATTAAGTCAGTTCTAGTCCCATTTAAGAGCCAAGACTAAGATTGCATTGACATCACAGTCCACTCAGTTGCATTCATAATTGAACTGGATCTTAAGTTTGGTCTCCCTGATCAAATGTCCATATTCAGTTTGGTAAACTATATTGCTTCAGAATAACTCACACAAAAAACAACTGGTCAGCTAACTGAATCAGCTAATCATTATGAAGTGAAGATCTCTATGCATGCTGTAATGGCATGCTATAAAGCCTACCAAATTAATGGGGAAAAAATCCACTGTCATTCCAAGTTCTCGACAATAGCAACTCTTGTCTTTCAAATCAACTTGGTCCAGTTATCAATAAGAATTGCCCAATGCATTTGGGTTGCTTTTTATCATTGCATACTAATGAAAAATAACTATGTTGATAAAATTAAGAAGTGCTCTCTTTAGTAAAAGAAAAAATTAGAAATACACAGAACATATCAGATACAATACGACCGTGTAATCTATATTAATAATAACTCAAAACACATTATAGTGTTTGTACAATGGGGCTATTTTTTCCACCAAGTTTTAGGTTGCTAGAATTTTCTTGTTAAGGTATAGTATAAAGCGAACTTTACAAAGATATGCACAAAATACTGAGAACATTCGTGTTTCTCAATTTTTTTTTTCATTTTGGCAGACCATATGCTTTACCTTCACATGGTATTTAAAATATTGGGAGTGTATATTCATATCTGGAGAGTACTGGGTTGGGGAAGACGAGCAAAGGATTCAGTATCTTAGCTGAGTCACATTCTGTCACAGTAAGCAGGAGGGGGAAGAGGAGAGGCAAATTACAATGCATTGATTTCCCATAACATTCCTTGTTCTGTGTATTTCAAGCACCTAGGCACAAGAGGGCCCTCCAATGCAGGGAGCTCCTCTGACTTCTACCCTGAAAAACAGCTAAATGCTAGATCCTCGGTCATCAGAAACAAGGAATTAGAACTGTCATGTTTTTCCTAATTAACCCTAAACAATTTATTCTGAATGTAATTTTGGTTGTAATTTATGACACTTCTTTAATGTTGCAAAAAGGTAGGAAAGCTGTATTTTTGTAGCATAGATATGCAAAACTATTGTTTTTCAAAGGCAGATACAGGAGAGATTTTGAAAAAAATATTTGAACTCTATACTTTTCTTCATGACCGGTTT